ATCAAGTAAATAAACTTTAATAAACAGAACAGACTAGATTAGGAAATGAAATGAAATAAAGTTTCAAATTGTCGTCACAAGCTGTACAGTTCACAAAACAGCAAGTGGGAAAACTAAAAGTTTAAACGACCATGTACCATAAGACTAACATTTATCAGTAGCAGACGTGGGTTTTATATGATATTTCTAAACGAATTATATATTAAGTGCTGAAAAACTGGGCTGGAAACAATATGCATTTGCCCAGTTTGGACCCAATTTCAAGCAACTGACCAACAGTAAGGTCACAGACACGATTTTTGATATCCCTCATTGCTACGTAGATAGACTTGGATTTGAAAACACCCCGCTTTGAACAGCAGCAATGAGGCTAAAAACCATTCAAAAAGTCTGAACAGATGGACTGCATCCATGAGGACAACCAGTTCATGTCGACATATATGTCACAATATTCTTCAAAGTGTGTCTTGCACAGATTTTTAACGCAACAAGGAGTCCGTTGCGATCTCACCTTTCTACAGGAGCAAATCATGATATTGATAGCTTAACTACAATGGAACAACGCGCAACAGCGTATCTTCATTCCGGAACGGCTTAGTGGATTATAGCTGAATGAGAAACTATCTGTTCCCAATGTTGTGCATGAACCTGCTTTCACAAATGAAAGTTAGTGTGCTGGATTCTGACCAAAAGATGCTATCCCAGATAAAAGTGGATGAAATGAGGATTTCTTGAATGAATGCTGGCAAGACGGGGCGGAACAAGGTTTGGAACATGAAAATCCGAGATACCTTGATTCAGAGCCGGTCGTTACAGACAATGAAATTATAACGTCGAAAGTTTGTACGTGACAAGAATGCAACAGAAAAGAATCGCCAAGCGGATTCATATGTAAAAGAGAGGGGGAAGATCATTCAGCCGCAGATCGTGAACCATATGGCTACATTATATAAAGGCACTGTCACTATTTACCATGGAGTCTAGCCTATGGAGCTTAGGCTCAATTTAGGATCAGAAATATTGGAAAGGCTATCTGAAGCAGCTTTTACCGTGACGTGAAAGGAATAGCAAGGTTTCAAAATAAATGAATGCTACATGCGGATCTAAATTCAATAAAAGTTTATTAACTTTAATCCAAAAATCTTTGGTAAGGAAACTTTTAGGGACACCAAGAAATGTCACAGAAAGACAAGACTACTACGATTAAAGGTTCAACAGACACT